ACAGCAGAAACCCATGTCTTTCATACGTCTGTGTGTGGTGGTTCTTGAAGCACTCACCCCAGCTGTAGTCCACTCTTTGTGAATCTCCCCCACATTTTTGAATGGGTTTTGTTTCACAATCCTCTCCAGGGTGCGGTTATCTCTCTTGCTTGTACACTTTTTTCGACCACATCTTTTCCTTCCCTTCGCCTCTCTATTAATGTGCTTGGACACTGAGGTGTCAAGGTGTCGATGGTCATCTTTTGGACAACTGTCAAGTCAGCAGTCTTCCCCATGATTGTGTAGCCTATAGAACTAGACTGAAAGACCATTTAAAGGCTTTTGCAGGTGGTTTGAGTTAATTAGCTGATTAGAGTGTGGCACCAGGGGCCATCAATTTTGAACCTTTTCACAATATTCTAATTTTCTGATATGATGAATTTGAGATTTTCATTTGTTGTCATTTGTAATCATCAAAATTAAACAAAATAAACATCTGAAATATATGAGTTTGTATGTAATGTATGAATATAATATACAAGTTTCACTTTTTAAATGGAATTACTGAAATCAATCTACTTTTTCATGATATTCTAATTTTATGACCAGCACCTGTATTTCCTTTAGATATAAAAATATCTGCACAATAGAGAACTAAAGAAAGACTACACAGTAGTTGGCTTGGATGATTGCACAGTGAATACGCAGGTGAAGAGAAGAGGATGGATGGATGGATGGATGGATGGATGGATGGATGGATGGATGGATGGATGGATGGATGGATGGATGGATGGATGGATGGATGGATGGATGGATGGATGGATGGATGGATGGACTGAATTGAAAAATTAAACAACACAGTAAGTGTATTGAGATGAAGAGATGGGTACATAAGAGATGACTCACTGAACAAAATAATGCAACTGCTTTTGGCATTTACTTAATCATATTTAGTTACTTTAACACAAATGTTTCATGTTAGCGGGGTAGGACATAAGATAATTAATTTGGTTCAGAAAATTCATTCTCAGGTCCAAGTTTTTTGCATATCTGCATTGCATAAAAAAGCACTAGAACTTCTGGCTGTCTAGGACTTTGCTGTCTTATATTGCAAAAATACCCAGCTACCCAGAACACTGGTACCAATAAAAATATCAAAAAGGAGAGTCTGATGTTTCTTCCCCATCCCTAACCTTAAAACCTGATATGGCTGCCTTACATATAAAATAGTCTAACCTATAAGGACACCTTCTTTCTTATATTCAATCTTTTACACACCTCTAGAGAACTTATTGTTACTGTTTAAAACATTTTAAACACCACTGAAGGCAGCACAAGTACAGCAAAGTGTTGTGAAAAGAAAAGGTTAAAACTTGCTGTTGCTACATTCTAACCATTAAAAACTATTAAAAAAACACAAGGTTAATTTAAGTGTTGCTATATCAGCAAAACAGGGTTGCATAGAGTTGAAAAGCCTATAAAGCCATGTTATTTATCTAGCTCAGCCTAAGGAGTTAAAAGTTACTTCTAATCCGGGTTATGGGGTTTTCTAAAAGTTTTCTTGAAAAACATCTGAGATTTCTAATAGCAACTTTGAGCCCCAGTATGAAACAGAAATTTGCGATGCATGTACTGTATGATTATGATTTTGGGAATGGATACAGATGATCATGTATCCTAAGCACATCAAAAATGATCTAAAAAATTTATAAACATTCCCTAATGTATTTCCCCTTAATTTGAGTGGGTGAACAAGATGATCTGCCAATGGAATGAGCATTTTTACCTTTAAAATAAGATGATTAGATAAATGCATTTGAAATAAGGGACTGCACTTGTTGTTTTTTTCTTATTTTAAATGTAAATTTTCTTATTCGATTGGCAAAGTGTTTCACTTACCTGCTCAATAAAAGAAAAATATGCTCCATTTAAAAAAAAATTTTGTTAACATGTTTTTGGAAATATGTCTCCTAGTGGTGTGCAGTATTATTTTAAGGTTGAGCCTGGTGCTCGAAATGCACAGATTTCCATCTTCTCTTGGCAGTTGCAGTTGCCTCTGATTTTCTGTGACTGGCTTCTATTCTGCACAGTTTTGCATAACATTTTCAACAATTAACTTTTTGTAGCAGAGGAGCATGATAAAAGGATTAAATAAAAAAAAGGGGGGGGGGGGGGGCACTGTAACTGAACTGAAGGTCATGCTCTCAAAAACACAATATGTTCTCTTTTTCTATCCCCAACGTCATTCCAGATTTTTTCTTAAAATTACATTTTTGTTATGTATTGAAATAGCTTAACCTATGTTTTTGCCTGACTCTAAACCTTTACAAATTTATGGAGTGTGTCTTTTTCTTTGGGTCAGATGGTTGAAACTTTGAGAACTTGAAAACCATGGTTTTATGTAAGGAAGTTGGTAACTGGTTGATCCGACAAAGATAAATTAATTTGACCAGGAAGATCGAAATAAGTTGATCAGGAAAATAAATACTGGAATTGGTGATTATTGCACTCTTGTCATTGAAATCTTGCTCGGGATGATAGGTTGCGCTCAAGTGAACCATTCTGCTATCCCCTTTTCAGCAATTTTTTAGGAGCAGCGATAATTGCCCAGTGAGTAACTCTATGACTTTGGCTGCAAGGTCAAAAATTTGTTTCGAGTATGCAGTGCCCCACTTTCTGTCAACTGAGGTGCTTACTTACTAAATTATTGATAAATATGACTACATTGTAATATTTAAACCTGGAGAGACTCACACAGAGAAAAGTTGCAATTAGAAAATATTAAATTTGTTTATACAAGTAACACAGACATATTATTCAAATTATTTCTGTGTAAGGAAAACCAGCTGATTGCGAGAACTCATTGATTCTCTGCAATCCCTTGCACTTAGTATGCATGCTAAGTACATTTTGTCAGCGACGGTGGAGAGGAAAACTCTCTTTTTACAGGAAGAAACCTCCAGTAGAACCAGGCTCAGTTTAAGCCTGGTCCTCAAAAATTATGCGGATAATGAACAAAGCGTTGCCTGAATGCATGAGGCCTTGATCCAACCACTGAGCCTTTAAGCTTAACATGCTAATCGGACTAACATCTCATGTCCATATGTCTGTGGTAAAACGTGCATGCAATCAGTTCTTATTGATCAAGTTGTGGATGTGTGTTGCGACTACTTCAACAAGGGCAGGCAGAGACACGTCTGAGAAGAAGCGATAGCTCAGGATGGTGTAAAGTGGCTCCAAAAGCGCTATCACATTACATAAACCCGGGTTCTCAACGATAGAAAAAGGCTGGTTGTGGAACGTTACAAATTCCATCACTTTGTCGTTAATAGTTTTAGCTTTTTTGACTGTCTCTTGAAAAGTTTTTACAGCTTTCAAAAGCCTTCTAAATGGGGACATCTGTCCTCCATGTTGTTGTTGTCTTAGCCTTAGCACCACTACCTGCCCATCAGCTGCTTTGTCCTCTTTCCATATTGCTTTGCCACAATGACGATTATTCAGGTGAGCTATTAGGTTTGTTATGTTAAAACCTGAAGCCTTTTTTCCTTCTCTCTGAATTCTTGTTGAAATAGGTTTTGCAAACTAAGAAAAAAACACAATAGTGGAGACATGTATGTTCATTAACAGTTAGGTAATGAAGGAGCCATGCTTGGGTCCTGCTTGTAAGGCACGCAAAACCCCACTTCTGATTTATCGGCTGTTTTTTTCGGAAAAATGTATGTATCAGGCCAATCAAAAATTTAGCCAAATCGGACAATATTTTATCGTACATCCCTAGTACAGATATAGGCTTAACAGAAATCTCCCATTGGAACATGAACCAGCCATGTTTGAATTTGCAAAAGAAACCAGTGTGTCCTAAGAAATCTGAGTTTATATTTGTTTTATTTGGGGCTCAGTTAAAAGATTGTTATACCAAACTTTAAATATTGGATTTTCTTCTTTTTCCCTAAAATGATGATCAGGTTTAGACATCAATAATTTAACATATGTTAAAGTTAATAGAAATCATAAGCTTTAGACACTTTTAAAGTGATATGACTGAATCACTGTACCATTTATAAGATTTTGAAAAAGAAAAAAACATTCATGCTGATTTTGCACAGTTTCTACCATAGTCAGTTTAATAACCTGCTTCTATAATTTTCACATCTCTGATGTAGGTGCTATTTTCAAATATTCATTACTTTAAAAATGTCCAAAGCTGTATAATGGTTATTTATTCTCCCGGTGAACAGTTTTTATATTGTTAACACACTTTATAGTACAGCATTTTATTGTTTATCTTTTAACTCTTCACTAATATGTTATTTTTATACATTTTTCTAAGGTCCATATTTGTGTGACCATTTTTTCTATAATCTTTTTGCTGCTGTAAACAACACAATTTCCCCATTGTGGAACAATAAAGGGACTTTCTAATCTATTGATTCTCCACAAGTCTCAACCCTAATGTAATTGCAGCATTCCTACCACGGCCTTTTGTTGCTATGTGACTTCTCTGCAACTTACTAAGAAACATTTGTCAAAATATCATTTGGAGAATTGTAATATATTTTATCATGTTTGTATCATTTTCACAATGTGTGCCTTAAAGAATAGTTTAACAAAATTTAATAGGAGCTGCTCCTGCTGCACTCATAACCAGTCATAGTGCAATAGATCATCTTACTGCTGGGGCAGGACATATTGCAATGCTTCCCTGCACAAATAATATTATATAGTATCCTTATACTCTGCAGAGATTTGGGGATAAAATTCCCTATTGAATGCACATCCTTAAAATCTCTTTAAATCTTGCCCAAGATGCATATAATGGGTCTGTTTTATTCAGAACATGGATGGCTGGTGCTTGCCTGGCCTAGGTTTCCTATATCATCCATATTAAAAACAGATTTGTTCCACATGATATTTGTTCGCAACCTTTAGAGCTAAACAAAGCAAAGATATAACTTTTACTATCTTTGTCAATCTGAATAACAATAATACAACAGCTATAAGAAAATACTAATGCACTGTACTCCTCTCTGCATGACAGCCTTTTATTAGACAAATTATGACACACTTCACCATTGAAAAAGACAGTAAATAAGTACATTCAGATCAGGTCATCTTCACAGTACAACCATGTGGAAGAGATGACTTGACATCCAGTTTTGTTATCTCAGCTATGTGGGGCTGATTTTTTTTTTTTTTCTATCTAGAGTTGAGTTTGGCTCACACAGCTGAAATTTGGCCTTTTTTTTTTTAATAAAAGACAATTGAAAATGTTTTTTGATTTAAAAAAAGATAAAGTGATTTCTAATTATAAGAAGTGGAATACGATTCCAGTACAAACAGGTTGCCTTTATAGATCCCTCATATATGTGCTTTTTCTTTTCTATCAAAAAGCCTGTGGTAGCTTAGATCAAAGTGTCCACAACACATGTGGTAAAGAATCAGCTGGAAAGTTGGTGCGGTGAAACACTTAAATAATGCATTTTGGCATCATGTAACTTAAACTCTTCAGCACACATTCCTTGCATGTCTCAAATCTCTTTGTTCACCAGGCTGTAAGGCGCTGAAAGCTGACTGCATTGGACTGTTTTAATCAACATGTCTGTAAGGCTGCCCTCAGTTTTCACACTCAATGGAAAGGTGGGCACTGGGTACACTTTATGGTTAATTAAGAGGCAGAAAGTCTCCTCCATAAATACTCAGAGTAGACAGACATTAATAAACACTTGTGCTCCAAGTAAAGCATTTAGCAACAGTTTGAGCAACACCGAACCTTTAGACAAAGGAACACGGACTTTAAATGTCAAGTAAATAAACATCTACACATCACATATTTTTTCAGAACAGGACAACATCACGTTTTATATATGATGTAAAGCTGTAGCAGGGAGGTCTCTTGTGTCTATTGGAAGTTAAACAGACCCCCACCACCACTAAACCTTTTTGCTCAGTAGCTCAGGGAATACCTGTTCTGTGCCCTGCCCCATGGAGAGGGGCATCTGGCTAAACAAATGAAAGTGGAACTATCAGAGACAGCCCAAGGCAGCAAATCTAAAGGCTTAGCTGCATCCCTGCTGGCCTTGGGGTTCCCAACAACACATATGACCATAGGACAAGTTAACAGTTGTTGAAAAGATTACACTACCTTGTTTTTCCAGGATATTAAGTCCTTGCAAAAGTATACATACCCCTTAATTTTTTTCACATTTTGTCTGTTCAAAACCACAAACTTCCACGTAATTTATTGGGAATGTATTTGATAGACCATTTTAATATTTTAAGTGGTAGGAAAGGGTTGACTGGTAATCGTTTTCCTATAAATCAAAATCCAACATGAGCAGATGTCGGAAATTGAATTCAGGATCCCTTGATCAATTCTGAGTAGACTGACCTTTTATTAGCTCCAGGCTCAAGTTTTTTGGGATCTCTACCAGTTTTGAACATCTGGGAGAAGATATTTTTTCAGCCCTTCTTAGAATAGTAAAATAGCTCAACCTCTGTGAGTATGGAGGGAGATTATCAATTAATTTAAACCATCATGTCTAACAACTGATTCTCAGTTGGATTTAGGTCTGAAGTTTGTAGCCTTTGAGCCTACAGGGGGATTTTCTGATTAATGCTATCCATGCCTTGCCTGTGAAATTTAGTTTAGGCAACAGGTATGCTTACGTAATAATTTTGTCTTCTTTCCAACTACTGAATTTTTCTAGAGTTGTCAAACATCGTTGTTTTTTTGTTAAAATACATAATTTTTAGTTTTATAAAAATATGTTCTTATACTTTCTTTGAGTATGACTAAAAGAAGTATGTTTTTCAGACAAAAAATGCATTTTTAACATTTTTAAGACTTTAAGAACATGGGTTTCAGCTAAATGACATGTAAAAACGAAATAAAGTTACGTCTTTGTATTGCTTTAATGTAATTCTGCTGCGAACATTCTATGCAGATGCAGGATAGAAAAGGTTTCTGGAAATACCAAGACTAGTTTTTCCCATTATACTTACATTTCAAAACCTTACTACTTATTTCTGTAAAATCTTGGGTAAAGCTTATTTAGAACCACTATATAGACTGAAAATCATGTGGCACCAAAGCAACTAGTTGCAGATTCCTTATTTAGGTGGGTGTGCAGCTCTACCATACCTTTTCTAAATCTTGAGCATGATTTTTTGAAATCAAACCCTACTTTACCACAAAAGTATACCTTCTTAGACAGTTGAGCTTATTTGCTCCATATTGGGGCCTATTTAGTAGTGTTCTCTAAAAAACATTCAAAGCCTTCACAGAAAACCAGAATTTATACAGAGATTAAATTACAAATAAAAGGATTATTTTTATCATATAGGTGTCTTCTGCATGATTTTTTTTTTCATTTTAGTTTTGTGTTGGTCAATTAAATAAGAAATAAATAAAATGCATGTATGTCTGTAACAAGAGAAAATCAAACAAAAACTTAAGGGTTTGAGGACTTTTGCAAGGCACTTAAGTCACTATGACCATACGGGCTGTGCAAAATCTGTTCTGGAATGTGATTCACATAAAGAGCAACAAATAACAGAAATTTTCTAGTGAAATTTGCCTTAATAACCATTTAAAGCAAACATTAGCAAAGTTTGAAGGTTTATAGTTCATAGTAAAGTCCTATGATACTCTTGGCCCTGCTCTAACTATCCATTTAAATGTAATCCGTTTTTAATGTAAAGAGTAACCGCAAAATCAAATCCAAACTATCCCTTTATAGATTTTTTAAGATTGTTTGTTGCAGATAAGTTGTTCGCTTTACAATCATTGCAATAGGGTGCAAAATGCAAATATGATAGAGAACGGACAATATAACAAAGATGCGGTGCTTTGGTGATGAACACTGAGCTCAGCTAGAAGGAGGCCTCTCTATCAAATTATGCCCATGGCCCTGTACAACTTTGGGTCGGCTCTGAGGATCATTGCTACACCCAGTGACGCACCCGGTGGAGTCAGTGTAATCCGTTAGGGGTGAATGGAGACAACCTGTCCAGACTGATGTCCGCCTCACAGTCCTCCAAGTCGCACACAGAGTCAGTGGCATTGTCGTTGTTGTGAGAAAACTGTGAGATCCTGTCGAAGGTCTCTTCATGCTCAATACATTCAACCACGTTTGGGATCATGTTGACGTATGCGTTGGCGATCTCTTTGTGGAGGATCGTGTCCTGGTTATAGGAGACCAGTTCGTTGCTGATGTTCACGGTCTCTACGGGTGTGCTGGAGCAGAAGTAGCGACAGCCCAGCAGGCTGGCGAAGGCCTTCCTGAACTCATTATTAAAGGCGTAGATGATGGGGTTGAGGGAAGAGTTGGCCCAGCCGAACCACACGAAAACGTCAAAGGTCGTCTCGCTGACGCACGGCAGGCCCGCGTGCCGGTCCGCAGCCGGCCTGTTGCAGAACGGGACCATACAGTTTAATATGAAGAAGGGTAACCAACAGCACACAAATACGCCCATGATTATGGAGAGAGTTTTAAACACTTTGGTTTCCCGTTTAATTGAAGTTTTCAGCGTGTTATGATGTTGGCACTCTATTCTGTTGGTCCTGCAGCTTTGCGCGTGTTCCGCAGCCCTCTCCAGGGAAGCTATCCGTCTGATCTGGATCTGAGCAATTCGATATATCCTGGTGTATGTTACAATCATGATCGCCACGGGAATATAGAAACTTATGAGAGATGAGGAGATCGCGTATTCTCTGCTCAGGCTGGAGTCGCAGTTTTCCTCCAGTTGCAGAGTTATGGAGGAGTTGTGCGCTCCGGCTGACGCGTCAGAACTGGCTTTATGCCAGTTCAGCTGGACCGGTATGAATGAAATGAGTACAGACAGCGTCCAGGTGAGGCTGATCATCACAAAGGCGACTCGCTGGGTCATTTTTCTCTCGTAGCGAAAGGGGCTGGAGATTGCCCAGTACCTATCCACGCTGATGATGCAGAGGTTGAGGATTGATGCGGTGGAGCACATTATGTCAAAAGCGACCCAGACGTTGCAAAAAGTGCCAAAGGGCCAGTAGCCTGCCACCTCTGCCACAGCTTTCCAAGGCATCACCAGCACAGCCACGAATAAATCCGACAGAGCTAGAGAGACTATGAAGATATTGGTGACTTTGCTCCGCAGGTGCCGAAAGCGCAGCACCGCAGAGCACACCAAGATGTTACCCAACAGAGTCCACAGGATGAGCAGGGACAGCAGGCAGCCCGTCACCGTCCGCACCACCATGTCCTTCCCCCCGTCGGCCGTCGCCTCCGTTTCAGTACTGTTCCACATGATCTCTCCGATGGGCGCCGGGATGGAGTCGATGCCCTGAACCGCAGAGAGATACTTAGCCGGGTTCTCCATTTCCTTCTCTTCAGGTAAAGCTGCAGTCAGTTTCTCCGTGCTTACTGGCGGGTTCAGCTTTCAGCCGGTCGCCGAACTTTCCCCGATGACCCACTGGGCAGCTACATTGATGCGCAACGCAAGAGAGAGACAAATAAAGAGCGACGATCTTTAGAATTAAACCAAACAACGTATCCGATGCGCTCAGGGTCCCAAACGCAGCAAGCAGTGGAGAAAACATATTGGAAGCCCGGGCGGTCCGGTCGTGTGACCAAGTTCCCCCTATGGATCTGTCAGTCTAAGATATTCTGACCACAGTGTGGATGAGAAGGGAGTCCCTACAGCTTTTCTCTCTCGCTCTCTTTCTCTCTCTTGTCCTTACACACACAACCACCAACACACCCCCTAGCACAAGCATCTAACCGGGGCTTGGTATATTTACCATTACACCACTTTTTGCGTGCTATTAGCGCACAACTGCGCACTGGGGTAACCAACAATTTTGCATCTTGGGATTCTCCGAAGCGCCTCATTAAAAGCCCAGAGAAATTATATAAAGCATTCTTCCAATTGTATCTCATCCCTGCTTTGTTTAACTTTATGTAACATTAACTGGATAGAAATATATATATATATATATATATATATATATATATATATATATATATATATATATATATATATATATATATATATATATATATATATATATATATATATATATATATATATATATATATATATATATATATATATATATATAAAGAAACAAGAGCAATGTCCTCTCCACAATGTGCTGCAGTCTAAGGAGCTGGTTCAGCAACAGGCAGAACAACTAAGCGACACATTACACCATTCCTGCCTATGGATATACTGCAGAATGACTAAAACTGAGCAATTGGTCATAATTTAATAGTGCTTTATCTTTATTTATATTGCTTGTTTTGATTAATCTTCAACATTATGATCTCTCTGCTTTTTCTCATAGTAGCTTTGCCTTGTCTGTTCCTGTTTGGCTAGGACACCATCCTGGAGAGAAATATCAGCTGTGCTGCTGCCATCAACACCACATTTGTTCATAGATGTTGGAGATCGGCCTGTTTTTCAGTGTAGTCCTATTTCTCTGATTGTGACTGCATGGCTGGATGTGCTCTCTTCATCCTCTGACATGGGAGTTGGCTAGGAGCTTGTCTTCCTGGCTGTGTGTTTCCTGGACGGGGCCACCTTTTACAGCTGCTTGATGGCAGCCCACACTGAGCCTGGTTCTGCTGGAGGTTTGTTCCTGTTAAAAGGGAGTTTTTGCACTCCACTGTCGCTACAATCATGCTTAGTGTGAGGGATTGCATTCGAGTCAACTGGTTTTCCTTAGATAAAAAAATTTGAATCAATTTAACTGTATGATCTGGTGAACTGTAAAGTGCCTTGAGATGACATGTGTTGTGAATACATGTCATCTATATAAATAAACTGAATTGAAATTAAATGTACTTGTAATATTTCTTTTTGTACATTTAATCAGGTAAATACTCCTTGAGATCAAGGCCATTCTCTCAAGGATTAGTAGGGCTAGAATAGTGGTAGCAAACATAATATCGGACAGTTAGACAAAAATTAAATGTATGGAGTGCTAGCAACTGACGAAAACTATGACTTATAGTTACAGTATCAGATTTCCTATGTTGGTTTCATACGATAGAGCAAAAGTTTGATTTAAGTTTTGAGAGCTTCAGCTGAGCTTGGAATTGTATTCCAAGAGGAGGAGGCAGAGAATCTGAAAGCTTTATTTACTGTATCAGTTCAATGAGAGGATTAAAGAGTCATGCAATTCTATTTCAAAATGTTTTTAAGTTAAGTCTAAGACTTCAATTTATTTTTAATGTTTTTTTATGAGATGGAACAAAACATCTTCCACATAATTGTTGAATTAAAGGAAACTGGTGCATGGTTATATTTGTTTATTGATAAACATCTAAAAATGTTGTCACTTGATTTTATGCTGATGGCCCTGAATATAACCCCTGCAAAAAGAAAATATCTTCAGAAGTCCCCTAAGTAGTAAACAGAATTAACTTGTGTGTGAATTAATCATATGAAAACTCCTGGTATTTTGTGAAGACCAGATGCTTCTTAGACAACACGGATAAATAAACAGGTCAGGGATAAGCTTATGTTTAAATTGTAGAAAATGTTACAAAAGCATCTTCCATGAGGGTGATATGTCTGCAATCTAAACAAGACACAGGGATTGGCTAAATCTGACGGACCTAAATGTCCTGAGGTCCAGAGGTCTAAAGTTGGAGAATATATCAGCACAGAATAATTATTATTACACATTCAATAAATCTTTTTTGTTGTCGTTGTTGTTTTTATTTATTTATTTACTTTGTGTGTGCATGTGGGGGGGGGGGGGGATTTTAAATACAATGGAAAGAGGAAATCCATTGTTTCGAGAGCGGAACAGTGGTGGCAGCATCCTGCTGAGGGTATATCCCTCATTGGAGACAGTGAAGTCAGTCAGAGTTCATTGGAAGACAGAAAGAACCGAATAAAGATGGAAAAAAGCATGTAGAAACCTCTTTCAAAAGACTTGAACTTGCAATGGCGGGTCATTTTATACTAGGCCAACATTTGTGTTGAAACCAAATAAAGATATAAAATGGCTGCACTGAAAACAATGAATAGGTCAATCAAAATCCAAACCTAGATCTCAATAAAAAAAAAAGTACAGTGTAAAAAAATCGGAAAGCAAACTTTCAAGATATTCTTCACCCAGTCCAACAAAACCGAAGGTTATTGGCAAAAACTGCAAGGCAAATGTTTTAGTCTCAAGCCATTCAACTTACAGTTGAATTTGCAGTCAAGGTTCTTAAAGTGGTGACTCAGGTGAGAGCCAGAGGACCTCACATCTTTCAATATTTCATAAAAAAAACTAGAAGGTTAACATTATAGACAAGTTGTAAACAAGTTTAAACAAATTATGTCACGGCATTGGTTCTGTTATATTTTACTTTGCTCCAAGTTGCTGATGAAGGTTCTCAGTCATCCAGGTCATAGTCATTCCGTAAAAATTCGAAAAATATCCACTGGACTTGGTTTTCAAGATTTGAAGACGTTTCGCCACCTCTCCAGGAAGCTTTCTCAATTCAAATGTCTGGATCCGCAGTGAGTTTGAGTCTTATATAGTCTTATATCCTATATAAGACTCAAACTCACTGCGGATCCAGACATTTGAATTGAGAAAGCTTCCTGGAGAGGTGGCGAAACGTCTTCAAATCTTGAAAACCAAGTCCAGTGGATATTTTTCAAATTTGCTCCAAGTTTTCTAGTTTTATTCCTATTTTGTTGTACTTTCTTGATATATTGAGTTAAGGTTTTTATTTTGTTGCCCTCTGTTGCCCTCTTGTGTTTGTCTCCTTTTCCCTAGCTCCTTCCTTGACTACTCCTTGTTAGTCTTCTCTTTGTTAAGTCTACCATAAATACTCTCCTTGTGCAGTTCCTCAGCGCTGGTTCCTCGTCTTACTTTGTCTCTCCTCGCCTTTCCCTGATTCCACATGCTATTTACCCTGATGTCTCCATGGTTCTGGTTTATTCTACATTTTAAGTTGGATTTTTTTGCATATCTGCCTCTGTTACCTGTGTTAATTAATTTTTTTTAAAACTGCAAGAACTCCCCCCTGCCTTTCAGCCTCTGCATTTGGGTCCAAAACCACAACAAACCCTTGACAATTTACTGAGCAAGCTGTAGAGCTGTCCTTGGTGCTGAATCACTGACAGCCTGCGGCAAAGTGCACCGTGATTTAGTAATGGGAGCATTAGGTTTAGATCCTGGACCATCCATCCATTTTACGTCACGCTCCTGCTGGGGTCACAAGGGGTGCTGGTGCCTAACAGCTGTCTATGCGCTAGAGGCGGGGTACACCCTGGACAGGTCACCAGTCCATCGCAGGGCAACACAGAGACAAACAGGACAGACATTCACACACACTCTCACACCCAAGGAGAATTAAGAGAAGCCAATCAACCTAACTGTCATGTTTTTGGACTGTGGGTGGTAGCTGGAGTACCCAGTACTCCATGTAGAAAGACATGGGGCTGGGAACCCGGAACCTTCTTGCTGAAGGCAGCAGTGCTACCCACTGCCCCACTGAGCAGGCTGATCATGAACTACCTTTACTTAAAACACTTCAAATGTCTAAAATATTTAAACTTTGTATCTTAAAAAATATTTTATTTTTGTTTTGAGCTTTATATATATATATATATATATATATATATATATATATATATATATATATATATATATATATATATATATATATATACACTCACCGGCCACTTTATTAGGTACAACTGTCCAACTGCTCGTTAACACTTAATTTCTAAGCAGCCAATCACATGGCGGCAACTCAGTGCATTTAGGCATGTAGACATGGTCAAGACAATCTCCTGCAGTTCAAACCGAGCATCAGTATGGGGAAGAAAGGTGATTTGAGTGACTTTGAATGTGGCATGATTGTTGGTGCCAGAAGGGATGGTCTGAGTATTTCAGAAACTGCTGATCTGCTGGGATTTTCACGCACAACCATCTCTAGGGTTTACAGAGAATGGTTCGAAAAAGAAAAAACATCCAGTGAGCGGCAGTTCTGTGGGCGGAAATGCCTTGTTGCCACAGCCTACCTGAGTATTGTTGCTGACCATGTCCATCCCTTTATGACCACAATGTACCCAACTTCTGATGGCTACTTTCAGCAGGATAATGCGCCATGTCATAAAGCTGGAATCATCTCAGACTGGTTTCTTGAACATGACAATGAGTTCACTGTACTCAAATGGCCTCCACAATCACCAGATCTCAATCCAATAGAGCCTCGTTGGGATGTGGTGGAACGGGAGATTCGCATCATGGATGTGCAGCCGACAAATCTGCGGTACCTGTGTGATGCCATCATGTCAATATGGACCAAACTCCCTGAGAAATGCTTCCACCACCTTGTTGAATCTATGCCACGAAGAATTGAGGCAGTTCTGAAGGCAAAAGGGGGTCCAACCCGTTACTAGCATGGGGTACCTAATAAAGTGTACGGTGAGTATATATATATATATATATATATATATATATATATATATAGGAACCAATCACAGGTACTTGCTAATCCCCCCCCCCCCCCTAATAATTCCTGACTGGGGGTCAAACTCTCCCACTTCAGGAGCTTTTCAGAACGGGTGAGTCAGACTCAGTCATCGGGCAGCTCTGTGTCGCCGTGTGTCAGTGCAGCAGCAGCGCGGATCCCGCCTTATAGAAACGTCACGGTTATTTTTAGATGTGTCTGGGTCCCTGTCAAATCGTTGAGACCCTACTGGAATAATCGCCTTGACGCCAAATTCTCTCGGCCAAAAATGGGGCAAAAGGGCCTGCCCACGCGGGGGAAAGAAGGAAAAGAGAGGGGAAATAATCTGTACCATCAACCCGCGCCAGGGGGCAAAGTGTTATTTCACACAGTGTAGGGATACCTCTCTACAAACATGACACAGCATTATGCACAAATTTACAAGTGACGTGGATCAACCGTGGTCTTTATAACTAAAGCTACAATGGACCGCATCTTTTTAAAAGATAAAAATAATACCTAAACAAAAACAAACAAAAAGTGTTTTGTTGTTATGTTGTTCATAATGCGTAAAAGCCAAATTGTCTTTACAAGTATCCGTTCATTTATTGTTTTACAACCATATTATAAAAAGAACAGACATATGCGATAAGAGGGATACAATAAGGGGAGTAGGGGGATTGAATAGCTAGCGCCATCCAGTGGTGAAATTGGATCCTGCAGCCGGTGAGCTCATAAAACAACAAAAAAAAAAACTCCATTCTGACAGCCTTTTTCAAGTCTTCTCACTATGTAGCTCGCGCTTTATGTTTAGGATTATTTTCATTGCAAGGTGGACCTGGCAATTTAAAAAATTCTTCATTGATCCCAAAGAAATTCTCTTCTATTTAGTATGATCTTGCTTCTCACTCTTCCCAGCTGCCCTGGCCCTGCTGAAGAAGAGCATTGCCACAGCTGCTGCTGCAAACACCTTATTTTACCCTGTTAATGATGTATTTAGGATTATGTGGTTAGTTTTTGAGACACACAGAATTTTACATGTCGAATTTGGAAAGCTCGTTTTTATTCTAAGTTTTGTAGAAAATCCTCCTTGGTCTTAGATTACTGTCCTGGACACTGGACCTAAAATGATGATAATTTCTTGTCAGCTTTGCAATCATGCAATATTCTTTCCACTGTCAAATGATTGAATATGCAGCTCTTTGTGAAATGTAGAAAACTTTACTATCGTTTTAGCTTCAGCATAGCTTGATTAAAATCATGACACTTTCAAAACAAATATTGTGGTGTATAAACATGAAACTTGGCTTAAAAATGTGCGGGCCCCCACATCTATGCCCTACCTGTACAGGGTAGGAACATTTTGATGGTCAGGGAAATAAGCAACACAGGCGGTGATCAACAGAGTGAGCCACATCACAGATTCTTATCAACTACAGGTGTTAACCACATTGGGATCCCTGGTAACAGGCTCTAACCAGTGCAAGTTTCAATCAATATCATCAGTCCATACATTAGACTTGAGATGCAGTTTATAATGCTTTCTTCTCATTTTCAAACCGGTGGCTACCAGGGATATTTATTTAACTCTGCACTTCACTCAGCGACACTGCTACGTCTGTCTGGAATAAATCATTTTTTTTTCTTTCTCCCTTACTTTTCTTTTGGTAAACATAAGAAAAAGAAAGAATATTGATCATCTGGCTATTTTAAATGCACCATGGAATTCCTGCGTTTTTGTGCATGGACCCTTTATGGCTGAATGTGGACAAGTAGAGGGCTGAACATGTGGTGGAGTCTAAGTAAAGGGTGAGGTAGAGCTGGGATTTATAAAGTATAAGTGCTTACTTTATATGCCTTTTTTTTTTTTTTTACATACAATTACAAATGAGACCCCAGATCTTGATCCCTGACCTGTCATATGTGTTCCTTTGTCTTCATAATGCAATTTACGTAGTACTGTTCTCTAGCAAAACCTCTGAAACCTTTACACAACAGTTTGAGTTTTACAGAGATTATATTGTTTACAGTGACTTCAGCCCCCTTGAACTTTTCAACCTTTTGCCACATTTACGTTTTCAAAGATTAAGATATAATATTGTAATTCTTTGTGAGGAATCAACAAGTGGGACACAATGATGAAGTGGAACAAAATTTATTGGAAACTTTAAAATATATATAAAAAAAACAACAACAGAAGAATGGGGTGTGCAAAATTAATTGGCCCCATTAATTGCAGCAAACTCTCTCCAGAAGTTCATTGAGGATCACTGAATGATCCAGTGTTGAACTTATTGACTGGTGATGATAAATGGAATCCACCTCTGTGTAATCAAGTCTCTGTATAAATGCACTTGCACTGTGATAGTCTCAGAGGTCTGTTTAAAGCGCAGAGAGCATAATGAAGAATAAGGAACGCAAAAGGCAGGTCAAATATACTGTTGTAGATAAGTGTAAAGTTGTTTTTTATTAAAAAGAAAGATTTAAACATCCCAAAGAGCACAAGCGATTATATTGAAATGGAAGGAGTATCAGACCACTGCAAATATATTAACATCAAGCCTTCGCTCGTAACTTTCAGTTCAAACAGGGAGAAAACTGATAAGAGATGCAGCCAAGAGGCCCATGACTACTCTGGATGAACTGCAGAGATCCACAGCTGAGGTGGGAAACTCTCTCCATGGGACAACAATCAGTTGCATACTGCACATATCTGGCCTTTATGGAAGAAAGCCATTTCTCAAAGATATCCATAAAAGATATATAAAAAAAGTTTAATTTAAAGTGGATGAAGGTTCTATAGTCTGATGAAACCAAAATCGAAACTTTCTAGCAACAATGGATAACAAAGCAACACAACTCATCCCCCTGAACAGACCATCCCCGCTGTCAACCATGGTGGTGGCAGCATCCTGGGTTGGGCCTGCTGTTCTTCAGCAGGGACAGGGAAAATAGTTTAAATTGATGGGAAGATGGATGGAGCCACAGACCTCAGACTGGGACGAAGATTTATGTTCCAACAAAACAATGATCCAAAATATAAAACAATATTTACAATGGAATGGCTCACAAAAAATACATATCCAGGTGTTAGAATGGCCTAGTCAAAGTCCAGACCTGAATCCAATCGAGAATCTGTGGAAAGAACTGAAAAATAGGCAAAACTTTCAGTCTCTTGATTTTCAAAACTGATGGACACACACCCCAAGCGACTTGCAGCTATAATTGCAGCAAAAGGCGGAGCTACAATGTATTAACATAAGGGGGCTGAATAATCTTGCACAGCCAATTTCTCAGTTTTTGTTAAAGCCCAAAATATCTAATAAATTCCACTACACATCCTCATTTTGTCCCACTTGCTGATTCTTCACAAAGAATTACAATTTTAGATCTCAATGTTTGAAGCCTGCAATGTGGCAAAAATACTTTTGTTGCTAATGTATACATCTTTATCCAGGACTTGTGTCTTATTTGTCTGTGTGTGAATTTGGTTACTCACATAACTGCACCAAAGTTCCAATTTTAATTAGGGAAATATATATTACATATATGTTTCTTCCCGCTTCACAAATATGTTTTTTGAGTTGTTCTAGAACACAAAAGTCCAACAAAACACACATGTTTATGGTTTTCAATGTAACAAATACATTTTCAAATTAGATGAATACTTATGATGCACTGTGTAAAACTAAAGATAATGGATGCACAATAAGTCTTTAAGTTTTAAAAAGGAAAATATTTTTATATCAACAGGAAATATACACACAATTTCATATTTATACACATAATTTCTTATAAGAACACAATGATATCAGTATCTGAAGGGAATTTGATTAAAGCTTTAGTACCCACAACCCTAGAGCAACAAGCTAAAAGCACAAAAAATACATTTTTTTTTGTTTGTTTCCCACAACTTGGCACATATTGAATCCCAGAGGGAGGATAGCACCAGACTGAGAACTTATTTGGACACCTGAATAAAGCCTTCAGCAAATGTAAGAAAAAAATGTCATTAGTGCAAAGTTCTGTCACAGACTGTGATTGATTGTATTGCATTTCCATCAGGGGTAAACATTCATCTCTGGTGACTGGTAATGGCGGTAATAATATTTGCTAGTAGAGAATTTAAAAAGTGCCCATCCTTATGCATGTTAACATACATCGTACCTTCTCACAGGGAAACAGGAATATATTTGAGTATAGCTTTTAATCAGCTCTACAGGTAAAAATGTAAGTGTATAAGCACTCTGATGCCCTCGCTAAGAGTCAAAGGAGCTACTTCTGAGAACTTAAGTTCAAATAAAACAAAACCTAAAAATATAGCAATGAGATTATAATATAGTTCTACTATATTTTATGTTCCACTACTCTATCTTTACTTTAAATATAGAGAAGTGAGAACTTTTACCATTTACATTATATACAGTTGGTATACTGTTAACTTTCAGATTCAGTCAACAGTATATAATCTGGAGTCACAGTTATGAAAATATTTAATCTTCATTCCAGATTAATCATTCAGGTCTATATGTTAAATGGTAACCCAGTCTAAAAAATGGGGAGAACAGAGTACAAGAAAATACAAAAGGGTCCCCCAAAAATAGCAGAATGTCTATATTTTCCCCCATAAGCTTGTATAAAAAGCTTTCAGTTATTCTTCAAGGAGCACAGGCTAAATGGTTTCTCTCAAAAGTGTATTTTGTCTCAATGGATTAAGTTCAGGTCTGCTGCAGGAGGGACCCTGATGGCCTCCAGGACAGCGAACCTGCATAGGCTTCTACAGGCAAGAATTTCTGTGCACCTTGTCAGAACCATTCACCGACTCTTTGGTCAGACTCGACGGAACACCTCGAACAGGGAGGCCACAGAGTGCATGCGATAGAAAAGGTTCAGAGGAATGGCAAAATTGAGAACTGTGGTCCAAGAGGTGAAGCCAAACGTCTCCTCTTCTAACCCGTTGTCGTACTGTGGCCTGCAGCCAAAGGCGGGAAGAATCCACAGCTGAAAGAGGAAAAATGTGTTTCTTTAAAGGATAATTGCATGATAATAAATATAATAAAACTTTAGACTATAATAAATGTGGGGTTTACACCTCTGAATAAAACCCAGTGCAACCTTTGCATTCAGGAGCATTCTCATTAATGAATGAACAGATTCCACTCATGTGTACTTTTATTCTTAGTATAAAAACTTTTTTTTCTGTGACGAACTGGGAGTTTGTTATTGGACATTTTTTAACAAACACCAAGACCAAAGAAAACAAGTTCAAAGCTGGGATAGTGTAGGAATGAATAATCCACGCTCTGAACATGTCACAGAGCACAGTCTGACCTCTCATCTGAAGTGGAAAGTGGCCTTTCAGAAAACACATCAGGTTGTCTACCTACACTGCCGGGGTAGCAGTCTGAAGGCCCATGGTTACTCTGTAGGAGCTGCAGAGTTTTAAAATGTATTCCCAGTTAAAGCAGTTTAACATCATACAAGTTTCAAATATGAATGTCAAAGTTTCCCTGAGGAAAACTTCCAATGGACAGTCAATCTTCTCTGTCCAGGGAGCCAAACTGTGCAGGTCTTTGTCTCCTGAATTGAACCAGGACCTTGAATTAAGGGCTCAATAAATGTTATAGTGTTTACATGTTTAATGGTCACATTTGTCCCTATCAAATAAATAAATTAATTAAAAGCTATTTTTGATATAAAACTCTCACTGGCAGTTTGTCAAAAGCCATGTATAGGGAAAGATGTACAAGGAACACATATGGTGAAATGGGACTAACATTTTAACTTTCTTGCCTAAATGTAAAATGGGGCGAAAAGCTAGTAATGTATAAAAGTACAAAAAGCACAGTGCTGGGAGCATCAGGCTGTGGAGATGCTTTTCTTTAGCAGAAACTGCAACTTTGGACAAAGCTGAGGGGAAGATAGATGGAGCTAAATACACTTTGAGGCCGTAAATGATTTGAGAGCGGACAGAGCTTTACTTTCCAAGAAAACAAACGGATATAATGTACAGCCAAGGATAAAACAGAATTGTCATTAAAGCAACGTAGCTGAGAGGAATTGTAAAGCTATATCTGAAAATCTTTGCCGTCATTCTAAAGTTCACTGCCAAGTATGGACCTACCTTGCCTTTTATATAGTGATATTTTCAAATTTGTAAACAGTTAAAAAAGTATTAAAACATATTAGATTAGTCCAAACCAAAAAAGCAAGATGAGGGAGATCATCATGAAGTTTGATTGCAGTCTTTGTTTAATGCTATAGTGACTTAAATAAATTTTAAGAGAACCTTTGAATTAAGTAGAGGTTATGTGAAAGGAAAAGCCAAAATAAAGTTCAAAAATTTAAGACTGAAGTTTAGTTTTGAATTCTAGTTAGTCGCTGTAGAGAAGAAAAAAAACTTACCGAAATATTGCACAATAACAGTAGAACAGCAATGTTCTTCAGCACCAGCCTCTTCACATTTAGGGGTTCCACAACCTGAGTGTCTACAGGCAGCGGCACATCCGACTGCTTTCGCCGACATCCGTACACCTGTCCATTCTCCTCCTGCTCGTTCACCATGGAACCACTGCTCCCGCCTGGAGACTCATAAGCCTGGTTGATGATACCGTTGAGAGGAGGCAGAAGTGAGGACACTGAGAACACTTCCGGAGCAGCGGGCAGCTCTGGGTCTGCCCTCTCAGCACTCTCTTGCTCGCGATAAAGGGACTCAATGATGAAGAGGTTTTGGACGGACTTCTCAAGAATAACTAGGAGGGAATAAATTAGGTTTGTCCAGCGGTATGGAGGCTCACTGTGGCTGCTGAAAACTGACACAATGCTGCACCAGGACATGAACCAGGAGCCAAGAGAGGATCCAAACAGAAGCTCTGTGTCAAGCTGTCTTGAAGGGTTCTTTGATGCGTCAAACGGCATGTGGTTTGCTCGGTATATGACCAGACCTAAAGCCCCAGCAGAACACATGACAGCCAGCATAACAATACCATAAATGTAGAACATAGAAATGGATGACTGCCGTATTTCCGGGGAGCCTTCTACACGTGTAATGTAGACCACCAGTATTCCAATAGTGCTGACGAGTGCAAGGAGACCCAGTATGGGGCCCAAGATCAATCCCTGTGTTTTGGTGACCAGACTTTTTCTGTTGGAGGACATATCAATGGTGCGCCCGATGTTCTTCCACATGACGAAAAGCAGAGCAGACACAAAGATGTGGTATTCAATGTTGAAAGGGAATAGATAAGTGAAGCTTTTGGAGAACAGGGAGCATGTGTTCGTTGTACAGTTGCAAGGTGGCTCTGACTTCTCTGAAAAACAGGTAAGACAAGAATGGGCACAAAAACATTAGAGGCAAATTTCATGGTGACACAGTACCATTCATAATTCAGCTAATAAAACATCACAAAAGTGCCACCCATTCATAAAGGTAAAAAAAATGGCTTATAATATGTCAGATTTCCTGTAAGGTTCTAAGTACTGTAAGTAAAGTAGAGGGCAGAGCGAATCTGTTAACAACTAACAATGGACACAATGTGAAACTTAAAACCTAAGAGACTCATTGTTAAATCTAACAATTGCTTCACAAGTCAAAGAGTTGTGTAGCAACAATAATCTGATGGAATGAAAGGGAAACATAACTGAACAGAATGTTGCTTGTCTCACAAAGATCTCATAAACTCATTCAGACCTCATTCTAATTTAAGGTAAAATCCCCAAAAGGGAACAGTAATGTCTTGAAATTTGCTAATTCATTGTTTGTATTGTGAAATAAGTGCCTTTACAAACAGTTTGAAATGCTCTAGAAAAACCGAATAAGAAAAGCAGGAACATTTCCCTTTTCTATTAGTTCAACTTAAAATCGAAAAAAAAAAACATGAAAATCCTTTTAAAAAAAAAAAGTTAAACAATAAAAATGCATGAAAAAATATACACATTAAAAAAATATAATGCAATGATTTTGAATGAATTTAGATCAATTTTGATATACAACATGTTCAAACTGTAGGAATTATTGTCTTTTATGGTCCTAGTAATAGCTATGCTTTCTTTTTCTCTTTTTTTAAAGCCTAAGAGGAATTTGATACTGAGATGAATGAAACACGTTACCTTTTGCTCTGAAGGAGCTTTTTTGTTGTAATTTATCTGATAATTTTAGCATTCTGATTGTATATTTTGTGCCCTGTCGACATTCCTAAGTTGCAACCTACTCTGCTGAGTGCTGTATATGATAAACATTTAAATACAATATACACATGACAGTAGGACTAAATAATTTTCTGAAGGTTAGGCTTTATAGTTAATATATTTTTGTAAATCTGTGCACCAAAAATTTTTGTGTTTGTGGGCATGGAATAACCTTTGGCAAAGCAATTTTACATTCTCGGCACACTTTTGCCATTTAAAATGTTTGAATCAAAACCAGTACACAATATAAATACAGGGAAATAGTAGATCTATTTCTTTTCTAATGTTGCAAGTAAGTTTGAGCAGAGGCATCAGGGCGCACCTGGTATGAGCAAACTGTGCAACCACTTAGAGATCCCTGCTGACCAAGGAAACCCAACAGGAATACGATTAACAATTTAGCTTAAATTAATTCGACCTCATTTTTTTGCCTGTCACTGTCAGACATTTAAGAAACTAACATGTTCCTGATTCAGATTAGTTAAAATCAAAAATATATATTCCTACTAAATAAATGCTTTAGAGAGATATTATTAGATAATTTGTGGCATTAAGCTCTTAAAATTCAAAAGTTAAGATAGAGTAATGGTGTGTCTGGGAAGAACCAGATAGTTTCGTAAGATTGTATAAAGTTCCTAACTTCTATGCTAACTGCTGGCATGCCAATTTTGTGGCAGCACTTAAAAAAGTGATTTAATTGTCATTTGTCCAGGTATTAGAAAAGGTATTTAGCATTATAACTTTCTGCATGCATTTTAGTTGATCTATTTATCTATTGCTGGTATTTTCACCTCCAATAAGTATTTCTATGCTTCATATTTTAATTAATCAGTGGAACTGAACTCATTCTTATGTTATGAAGGCTTTTGTTGAAAGAAAAGTTTAATCTGTACTTTTTTTTGTTGCTGTTTAGATTGTATTGAGAACTCCCCCCCCCCCACTTTATCCGAAAACACTTGCAGTTGAATATATGTTTTATACTTGCCAAGTGCTTGTAAAGCCCGCTGTGTATATTGGTTGCCCCAAGGGGCACACCTTAACAAAACCCTGCCGTGTGCCCCCACCTATCCCCCTTACAGCCCATGAGAGGCCACCACCATGGAGCTGCACCTTTTAATTAAAAGGGGAACAGTCAGGGTGCAGCCACCCTCACAGTCAGCCGGATATGAGGAAGAGCAATTGAACCCCCCAACCCCAGGCTTAGATGTATCAGTTACTGTGATTGCAGCACCCTTGGGACTAAGCAGCCTTGAGATAAAGACGTCAAGGGTCAAGCCGGAGGGGGTGGGGGGGTGGCTTGCCTAGGTGGGCAGCAGTTGCTGTAGTGTGCAGCAAGGGGCCAGGAAGGGGAGGTTTGTGGGGGCAGCAAATCTGTGTTTCACTGTGAAACCTAATAGATAGACGTTCAACACAAGCAAGACCTATTGAGTGACTAAGCTTCCCTCCTTTCCCCTCTCAGACCCTCCTCTTTTACTTTTCTTTCATCCTTTGAAGCAAGCATTCAAATGGACAAGTGTATTTTTCTTCTCAGGTACAAGGCAGCAATCGACCTATCGGCCCTTACCTTCAGTGATATTTTCAAATTCCAAGTTGGAGATTCGTTTAAAGTGGCTGTGCATGAAGTGCTCGGTCTCTGACATCACACCGTTACACCACAGGAGGAGGTTGGTAAAGACTGCATGAATCACTCCAAACCTGATGAGACACAAATGCAACAGTCACCCAAAAGCCTTCGGAGGTGAAATAACCAGTTGCACTTTTAATACCTAAAAGCACAGATTTTTTTTTTTTTTCAGATACAGTACCAGCTGATATATTGTAGGAAACATAAAATCTGAAAATTGTCATGTACATTTTCTACTGTTAAATAAATGACGGGGAAATAAAAACAACAAATAGATTTTAAATACCTTTCAAATGTCTCAAAGCTCTTGATCACGTCCTTGATGTGGAACCAAAGAAAATGTACCTAAAAAGTCCAAAAACATAAGAAACCACAGCTTGAAAAGTTTTTAAAAACCACAACAGAACAAGTTCCAAGAGCTTCATAAATCTGTACAAATGCTTTTGTTATATCAACCAAATGAAAACTAATCTTTAATTGAGTGTTTGAGTCTCTTTACCACACAGATTTAATTTGCCATATGAGGTTACACTCAAATAACATGAAAAAGGAGAGGATTATACTGTTACGACAACAAAGGGCACATTATTTCGAGTTCGTTGGTGGCACACTGTGGCCCAGCTGGTAAAACACAGATGAAAGATTATCACCTCATTGAGATTAAAGCAGGTCTGTAAAGTTACCTGTGCTATTGTATGTGTTGCATGGATGACAGGATATACAGCGAGCACTGCTGACAAACATGATTGATATCCGACAAAGTATCCAATTTTCAAGGCATCCATGATCAATGAGAGGACAGCCAGCAGAGTTAAACCACCTATAAAAAAAGGAACAAATTATAAAAAGTTTGTAATATGCCTTGAAAAAGTAGTTCTACACATTGAACTTTCTAATGTTTATTAGGAGAATTTGATTTGACACAAAGCAGTATATAATTGCCAAGTGGATTATTTTCATATGTAAAGACAAATGAGTGGACATCCCCAGGGCTTGGACATGGGGAACTGCCTGGGAATGTCATTTAAGTAGAAGTTCTTATAAAAAATGTCTAAAATAAATAACATTTCTATATAGTTCAAGATTGAAAGTGTTGCATATTGTTCTTGGCAAAACAGCTTAATATCAGTCAGATTGGATGTATAGAATCTATGTACATCTGTTTTCAAGTCTCATCACTGATTCTTCATCAGATTTACATTTGACTGGGCCATTCTAATACACACAAAAATATTAAACCCATTTCCTGCAGAAATGTCTAAATGTTTAAGGTTGCTGTCATGTTGGAATGCAAACCTAAATAAACCTTAAGTCTTTTTAGCTTCTAGGAAATAAGTAGTATTGCACTGTATTTAGTCCCACCTGATGGGTCCAGCTGCCCCACAGCACGATGCTGTCACCCCTTAGTTCCATCATGGGATGATGTGATGAATGTTAAAAACGAATTTCTAATCATGCCAACATCTTCTTGCATTTCAGCTCTCTTCCATTGAAGCTGAGAGTTTCCTAGTCTTTCAGACAGTTTGTTCACTAATGTCCCTATGACAAGATTAATTACACACAAACGGTTTACTCTTTAGCTCACATGTCATGATTAAATAGGATCTTGTCAAAGGGTTCATAGTAAAGGGGACCAAATACATATGCAGTCAACACTTTCCAGATTTTGTGTTGGTAAACAACTTTTACAGCCAATTATGCCCTACTATAGATAGATAGATAGATAGATAGATAGATAGATAGATAGATAGATAGATAGATAGATAGATAGATAGATAGATAGATAGATAGATAGATAGATAGATAGATAGATAGATAGATAGATAGATAGATAGAGATAGATATGCGCTTACTCTCCTAAAGATCTTATGACTAAGCTTGTTCAGCATCCTTCCTTGTTTTCTCTTCCATCTCACCTCTTATCCAGCATGTAGTGGCGTTGACATCCCTCTCTGCCCGTGCGTTCTTCTGGCTGTACCGCACCAGGATATACCACATCATCCAGATCAGTTGCAGTATCATGAGGCCGGTGGTGAAGGACAGCAGGTCCTTCTCTTTAACGGAGGGGTGATGGTGCGCAATGGCCAGCATCAGCGCCACCCCGATCAGCAGCAGGTTGATCCCATACTGAGCGCTGAGCAGCTCCGCGTTCTTCCTTGGATAGTCTCCAGACAGGTTGAGCTTTAGTTTGGCAAATATCTTTTTGTCCCGGATGGAGCTGGAGGATGAGGAGGAAGAGGAGCTTTGGCAATACTTGTTCGGGGACATAGTGTTGAGGCCGCTGTGCTCCAAAATCTAGTTAAATGTGCAAAACTGCAACGGTGTGAGAAGCCGGGGGGGGGGGAGCAAAGTTTTGTGCGCTATAAGTGCATTAGAGGGAGACCAGGCGCGTTTCCACGGAGCGTTGAATCAGGCGGATACGACGAATGCCAAACATAAACTCGATCTTGGAGGTCCGGCTCAGTGGTTACGCACAAGCTCCAGTGTGCAGCCTCTCCGAGAATGGACCTGTTAGATGCCAGTGTCAGCCAGTGGGCCAAACCCCAGAGCGCAAATATATGTCCGTCTCATAAACCCGCTGAGTCACATCAAATGAGGGATTAAATTACAGCCAAACTGATCCCTACCGTCTACCTTGTCGAAACACTCATGTGTTTCTAAGAAACTGGTTGATCTCTTCTTGGCACTCATGCCAACCATTCATTGTCTAAACAAGAACCCAAATGTAAAGTTACACCACATAACAGGCAGGCAAGTATAGTGTAAATCCCGTGTCTCAGTCCAACTGGCATCACACCTTTTCTCAGTCTTTTCGCTGGCAGGTCTCCAGGAGTTGTGTTGAAAGAGGAGATGGTCAGTTCACACTATTAAACAATAGTAGATGATGGCCTACATCCTAGAGGCAGATCGCTCACATGATCAAATAGGAACATTTAAACGCAATCACAATGACCTGTGCATGAAAGAAGGTCACTGAGAATTGATAGACTGATTTTCGCTCTGCGTAATTTAAAGAACAGTGTTGGGACTGCCCACTAAAACTGGGAAGTCGGGGGGGATTGCGTTTGGAGGCATCCAGTTTCATATGAACAGTGAGAATCTGTCTGCATCCTCCAAAATAAATAAGCTGAAACTAGAGATTATTATTTTTATTTTTTTTATTTTTGACAGTTTGGATTTGTTTTCTTCCTCCATTAAGGGATTTATCAATGAAGAAAATGCATGCTTTCGGTTATGTGTGGTCTTTATAGAAATCAAACACAGAAAAAATAATCAAAAGAAAAAAAATGACGTTGAACTAAAACAGTCAAAAAAAATATTGCAAACTTTTGCAAGTAAATTCGTATAAAGTAGCCCTCCCCCAGTACTAAAAATATTTTAGTAATAATATACAAGTAAGTTCAAACTAAAACAAATTTAATATATGCGACATCATAAATATAGACAGCTGTACAAAAGGGACTTCCCAGAGGTAAAGAAAACTGATGATTGAATGTTTCTGCACCCAGTTGAACTTATTTTGAAATCACGGGGCGCACTGACTTCTGATTGGTTGCAAACATGCGCCTCGCTCTACATCTTCCCCGCTAATCCAGTACAATTGATAACATGAGCAGCTCAGACTTCCGTCGGTCATTCAGAAAGGATAAACGCTACATCATGAAGCAAAGCATGTTTGGAGAGAGTCTCCAGTGCGCATTAAAGTTTGTGAACACAATTTAGAAAATTCCTTGTTTTCTAGTAGCAACTTACTGAAAAATATACAGTTTCCGCCCCCATTCAATGTCATCAGTTTGAGTATTGACTTCTTGATCATTGGTGATCAGCATGACAAAAGAAATATCCGTTCATTATCAGCGGGCTGCAGAATGAGGACTGATAAACTTTTAGCCCTGATTAAATTTGAGGGGTGCTTCAAGACTTAAAAGGTAAACAACTCAGCAACATTTAGTCCACGAGGATTGGTCACAAGTTTTGATTATTGCTGCTGGGACTTTGTTGACTAACTAAAAGGGTAATGTGTGGGTGAGCATACTCCACCCTATTATGGTATTTACACCCTTCAACTTCTGGTGTCTTGGGAACTTTGTGCTGGCAGAAAAATTTTCACCATAAAAAAAAAAAAAAAAATATTTATACATTTCAGATCAAGAATTTTAGTAGGTTTAATAAACCCAGTTTAGGTTCAGACCTAAATCCAACAGAACATGTGTGGCTAGGTTTGAAAACAGTGTCCTGATTAGGCCATTCTGCATAGCTGAATTTGCCCACAGTCTGGACACGCTGCTGTTACTGCTGCTGGGATGTTACAAATGTTACTGAATGTTTGGGAGATCTTTCCATGACACAAAAAAGTATACACCGTTTTTGTAAGGTGCTGTAATCTTAACACATATCTATCAGATACACAGTGTTAAAGCCTCTGGATGAATCTACAGAAACTTTTAGCTTTTTTGTTTAGGGGAGAATCAGTAAAAATTATTAAGGAAAAGTCTTGGTTTTGTCGCATGCATAGATGGATGATCTGAATAAAAATAGTCACCAGGACCTCATTATCTTCAAAGAGTTCGTTGAAGTGCAAGTGTCAATTGCTTGAAGGCGTAGCTGACTATAACATACCACTTTAAAATTGTTGGGTGGCACAGCAACTTTTGGATTTTGAACAAAAAGCCTTATTCCTTTCTTCTACCAAAGCCTTATTTATTCATTCATAATTTGAGATTCATAACAGGATAAAAGAGAAAATCTCAAAGGTTGCATTTTAGTTTCAGGTTAAATTAAGAAAAGTTAAATTGACCAAACTAATATATCTTTATTAAAACTATATTAAAAAAACTATGAAAGATTTTCACCAAAGTGATGCTGAAATTCCCTACATGGCTGTTTCTCAATTCACAAGAACACCAATACAGACTCATACATGAGGGTAAATTGGAACAGAAGTGTACGCATGATGTCACAACACGCTGGCTTGTCTGGAGCTGCATTTCACCTCCTGTTATTTTAGATAATAAATTATTCATTTTTTTCATTTAGTCAGGGAATAGTGATTAACAGTCAGATAAACACAAATCAATTGAACGTTTTGCCTAGTAAAAAAATAAAAAATGGCATCAGAGTCAGCGGTACTTCACACACGGCTATGCCGAGGGAGGGCTGCTGCAGACGGGCTAAGGTCAGCCCTGGCTGCGGTTATCCTCAGAGGTCTGCTGGTTCCCACGTTCCTCTCAACATCTGAACTTTTCAAAATGATGCAGTAAATGGGCCATATAGTGATGCTTAAAACTATAACGCTCTCATCTCAAACGATCTTAAAACGTACTTTTACAGAACTGCAACAGAAAAGAGAACTTTTAACTTGATAATTCACTGGAAGCTGCTGTTACTGTGGTGCGTGCTGGGACAGCTGTCAATCTCTAGAACTGACAAGTCTGCTCTGATGCTCCGTAAGGACAGAGGGATGAGAACACATTCCGGGGACTTTGTCCGTTTTCAGTCTTCTGTTCTTGTGAATTGGAACAGTGCTCGGGCTGCGGCTGATGACGTTTCACAAGCACATTAAACACACAAGTACACATAATGGAAACAGCAATTAACACATTTCAAATTTTAATACTTCATACTATAATTACTAATGAAGTTACTGGGGCCGATGAGGACCAATATGCTGACAATTTCACAAATTCTTTGAAAGAAGTGAGAAGGATTTATTTATTTTATAAACAAAACAATAGAAAATACAACACACTATAAGCACAGACATAAAACATAAAAACAATCTACACTTTGGATTTAGCTTTAGGCATCTTGTCATCTCACATGAAGAAGGAAACGGAAATGTCACAAAATTAGCTCTAAAACTGTGAGTTTAGATTAGCTTCTTGACTGTAGATTAACTGAATCGGTGAGAGTTCTAGAGAAGCAGAGAACAAACAGGAGGACGTCTTGCGCATTAGCATTTCTGCAGATCCATCCTAAGGAAAAAAGAAAAGAAAAAAAGGATGAGCAAAATGATGACATCAAATTATGCAGGTGAAGAGGGTTCAAAATGAATTAGAGAAATGAGGCTACATTTGGACAATCAGATAGCAGCATCTTTGTGAAAGGTATGTTAGGAAGGAACTTGATGCCATCAACACATTTAGAAAAGTTTAAAGGAAATGGTCATCTTTGGTTCTATTTCTACTTATGTGACCTGGAAACACCAACAGCAGCTGTAGTACACACTGTAGCCATCAGTCTATCTCTGGTCTCATTTTACACCCATTCTGACAGAAGATCAATAGGAAGTGCGGGCACAGGCATACAAAGTGTGCTTGTTATTCGCAAGAAGCAAGCTGAAACATGAGCCCCATTTACACTACCTTTTTTAATCTGTGTCGAGATCGATCAGAGCATGGTAACTGAGATAACTGTTGAGTGTAAATGGCACAAAAAACTGAACCGGACAGTGCCAGACACAACCAAACCGCACTAAACTGGTTCTAGCTTAACAATAGGTCTCAGCGCGGGTTCAGTTCTGGCTCAGTTCTCAGATAATAAAGAGAGCATGAGCAGACCCCATTATCTCCTTACAGTCAGCCTCCGTAATTTCAGACATTCATAAAAATACTAGCTTCCCTACCATGCCACATGATTTTCAGTGATGATTCTGCTTAGCAGTGTGATGAACCTCAATGTCTGTTGTTGTTTCCAGCGTCTGTAAGCCCTGATTAGACTATCGTTTGTCATATCCACTTCCCAAAAGCTGACTCTGTCAAAAAAATTCACCAAAGGCTGCCTTCTTCACCTGACTCTCCGCAAACAACGAAATATCACAATTATAACCAAACTTCCTGAATGTTAGTGTGCCCTGTAAACGGTGGTAAGGAACCAAGCTCAGTGCGAACTTGGCACAGATCTTTTTTCAGAGGGGAGTGTAAATGGGGCTATGGACTCATGTAACCACAGAACACTTGTCCTTTGTCTTTTAGTCGATCTAAGAACACAAGTTTGACTTTAAGGAAACCTGAGGCCCGTACCATGATCTGAGCTCAATGTAGCAGGAATACTTCCAGTCTATCCAGTTTAACCATCTTCAACAATGGCATTCAGGATCAGCTGTACCACAAAGCTGGTTATCAACTCGCTAACTCAATCCAGCTTGAACTGATCAAGAATCTGTGAATGTGCACATATAAGGGGGCAGGTTCAAGCTAGCAGACCAAATACAATCATGAGTGCAGAAGGGAGAGCGCCGCATTTCTTGCACGAGGAACAAAAACTCATCTTACAGAAATACGAAGAGAAAAAAAACAAGTCTCATTGAAAAGTCAAACACAGTGGCAACATGAAAAAACGCCAAATAGTTACAAAGGATTGCTAACTGCATAAATTGAAAAGTTCACATTCTATTCATTTAACACAGACTGTATCCTAATCACTGTGTTTCATATTAATCGCGGGCCCCTCAGGAGCAAAGAGGACTTGGGAGCAGATAAAAAAAAAAAAAAAACACAAAAACATAATTTCATCTTGTTAGCTGGACTTTTAATTCGATTATGCCATGATTCTGTTTGAGTGAAGTCCTCCTGATTCCTGAGCTGCGTCAGAAATCAGCGGAGCTTTTGAAAAGGTGAACATCCTCAAATAGAGCATTTCTGTTTCAGTCTCAAACTGATTTTTATTCTACATAATAAATGTTCCTTTCTTAAAAGTGAAAAAGAAAAGGAATTCATTCATTCATTCATTTATATATATATATATATATATATATATATATATATATATATATATATACACACACAGACACATCCATCTATCTCTGTCTATATATAGGTATATTTAGTTTTGTCGTTCAGAGTACATTAGCATGGTGAGCAGTCTCTCTAAGAATGAATCCAGCTTTGTGGTACCGGAAAGTCAGGGTTAATCCTGAAGTTGTCTCGCTAACCCAGTAATCCTGCTTCGTGGTAGAGACCTCT